TACTTTTGCGTTACCTTGCAATACTTATGCGTTACCTCACAACACTTTTTTGTAACCTTGCAATACTTTTTTTTTCATTTTCCCTTTGTTTATCCAGGTAGCCTCATTGAGCCACGAGAACTCATTTTCAAGAGAGACCTGTTTAGGGAGCACATGGAGGTTAAGGGCCTTACTCATGGGCCCAGAGTGGGGCGAATGAGGGTGGGGGCAGGTGTGGGTACTTCACCTACCCCACCCACATTTTTGATGTTGTCGGTACCAGGGCTTGAACCGGCGATCTTCCGAACACAAGCCCATCTTCTCTAACCTCTGCGCCACCACTATCCCCCCAACCTCGCAATACTTATGTTACTTTGCAATACTTTTGCATTACTTCGCAATACTTTGCGTTACTTTGCAATAGTTATGTGTTACCACGCAATAATTTTGGGTTACCTCACAATACTTTTGCATTACCCTGTAAAAGTTGTTAATTACCTCGAGAAAGCTGCGCGGTGTGCACTTATGACAAACTGTCCACAAAACAAACGTAAATGTTTATCTTTGCGACGACTGTGTCCTCTCACACGAAGTATTCTTTTTAAATGTCACTCACTGATGTGACACGTATGCCTTTTGGCAAGCACAGACTGGATATCCTTATATTTAAGGCCAGTTTAAAAATAAAACTCCATGAACCTTCAATATGGGTGTAGTATCTGTACAGTATTGTGAGGGAATGCAAAAACTTTTGCGTGGAAACGCTAAAAGAAAAAAAAAAGCCCCATCTCCCCTTGGGGGCTCCGTACCTCTTCATGTAAAAAAACATGTTAAGACAATGAAGTGTCACTTTCCAATCTTTTTATTATTTTTATTATACACCCATCTAAATGCAGATGCATTATGGTAGAGTCTCCAAACGTCTGTAAACTTTCTCTTGTCCTGTTGTCCAGGCCATTGCTATAAATTTCTGTATGATTGTTTGTAGACGAGCGTATGATGTGCCGTAACCGTTCACCCTGTTGCAGTTGGTTTCTAAAAGACTCCATGATTCTTTTAGGTTCTGCAGAACATCCTGGAAGCAGAGGGGGAATACTCCAGGGAGCTTGAGAGTCTCCTGGGTTCATACCTACGCTCGCTTCACCCTACAGACAGGTGGAGACTTTTGTTTTGCTCTTCAGAACGGGTTGTTTAAGGCACTCCAACACACAGACATATTTATGCTGCATTACTGGGATGACTCGTTGAGTTTTCACTCAGCTGTCTCAGTTTTACAGTGGCCCTAAGGTGTAAATGAACAACATTTGAAAAAGTGGAATTACATATATTAAAAAAAAACAGAATTACATTTGAAAAAAACTGAATTACATTTGAAAAATCAGAATTGCATTAAGACAAAGCGGAAGTGGCCAAGGTGGAAGTGGCTAAAACGGAAGTGACCAAAGTGGAATTGGCCAAAGCATAAATGGCTGGAATCACATTTGGAAAAAAAACAGAATTACATTTAAAAAAACAGAATCACATTTGAAAAAAACAGAATTACATTTGAAAAAATTGGAATTATATTAAGCCAAAGCAAATGTTGCCAAAGCGGAAGTGACTGGAATCACATTGAAAAAAAAGGAAAGAAAAGAAAACTGAATTACATTAGAAAAAAATTAAATGACATTAGAAATAAACGGAATTACATTTGAAAAAACGGAATTACTTTTTTAATAGTTCCGTTTTTTTCAAATGTAATTCCGTTTTTTTAATTGTGATTCCATTTTTTCTAATGTAATTAAGTTTTTTCTAATGTAATACAGTTTCTTCTAATGTAATTAAGTTTCTTCTAATGTAATTAAGTTTTTTCTAATGTAATACCGTTTTTTTCAAATGTAATTCTGTTTTTTAAATTCTGATTCCATTTTTACTCATGTAATTCAGTTTTTTCTAATGTAATACCGTTTTTTTCAAATGTAATACCGTTTTTTTCTAATGTAATATCGTTTTTTTCTAATGTAATTCAGTTTTTTCAAATGTTATTCCGTTTTTTTCTAATGTAATACCGTTTTTTCTAATGTAATTCAGTTTTTTCTAATGTAATACCGTTTTTTCAAATGTTGTATTTTTGTTGTGTTCTTTCAAATGTAATTGTGTTATTTCAAATGTTGCTCATTTACACATCAGGGCCACCGTACTACATTACACATCACCGTACAGTTTTTATCATATAAATATTCTACGTTTATACATTTGCACAAACCTTAATCTAGGATCCACACTGGAGAAACTCACCGGTTTACCATAAACGGGCATGAGAACGAGATTTCAATCAACGGAGCAAAGTTTAACGTTTCTTTACAAAAAACTAATTCAATTCATTTGGCTTTTCTGGAAAAATCAGCCAAAATTAAAATAAAAAAAAAAAAATCTGTGCTACATTTCTCGGCGGTGAAGTCTGGTTGGAAGGTGCCTCGACTGCTGTACGAATTCACCTCAGAGACAGAACGATCCCAAAATGGCCGCCGATTTAGCTCCAAATGCAGCCAGAATGGTCCTCGGTGCACAAGAAAATGCTGCAAAATTGATCGTTTTCATCAGTCTCGGTTCAGCCACAGTAGACTCTGGACCTCCGGGACCACGACGTGTCGCTCCAGATCGTAAAACATGAAGGAGAAGTGGAGGAGGCCAAGAGGATGATCTTCAGGAGGACAAAACCCAGAAGTTATATAAAGTTCTATCTTATCTGTAGATGTCAGCTCTAGCCATGAATAGCATTGGTGGAGCCAGGGGGTGGCCAACGGTGGCCTTGGCCACCATGAATTAATCTTTATCCACCCCAATCATTTGAGGAAACGTTCATTTTAAGCAACATAAAACTTAAAAGCAAAGATTTCTCACATGATCGAGGTGGTTGCTTTACATATATATGGCGGCAGCCATTTTAGATTTTGATGTGGCCACCCAGTTTTCGAAAGGAAACTTTTTTACAACTAGATACAGCCACACAACAAAACTGAAGTTAGTATCTCACTTATTTTTCAAGTTCTCACGCTCACAATATGCACAGATGGACGGAGAGTTGGGCCTTCTTCGCTCTTTGACGGGGGACAAAAATTGACACAAAATCGATGCTGACGAGGCATTTTGACGTTTTGACGATTCAGTGGCTTTCTGAACTACGATTCGTTCAAGAGCCGATCAGAACTCGTTCTAATTGTTTTAATGTACAAATCGATCCTGACAGCAGAGGTTCATCGAGGCGCCTTCGGGCTATTCTGACAGGATTTGTAGCAGTTTACCGTCTCAGTTTTCCATTGAATTTACCGTATTTTCCCGCCTATAAGTTGCACCTTTTTGCCTAATTTACACCGAAACGACGTATTTATGGATTTTTTTTCCATATTTATAAACCAATATTTGGCTGAGATATGGCCGTTTTCATTCATTCTGCCTGAAAATATCGAACACAACCATTTTCAGCCTCTAGATGATTTTTTTTCCATATTATTAGACATTTTTGGACTCATGCGACTTATAGGCCAGAAAGTACAGTAATGAGAGCGTTTAGAATACAGTTGGGATCCTGTAAAAATACACAAACTGCAGTCAGAAGGCACTCCAAAAGCTGTTTGATGTTTTGAACATGAGCAAAACATTCGAGCTGAGGGTCCCGAATGTTTAAAATGGACTTTGGATTTCCAGGAATACGCAAAGAATTGGCATTTTAACAGCGTTCCGGCTCGAGCGCAACAAAGGTTTTTAGATTTTCATATAAAACACTGACGGCGTTCTTTTCACAGTCCTCTATTCTGCTCGGCAGACTCGGCAGCGATGATATCCGCCACATTCAGGGGAACCTGGAGGAGATCTCCGCCTTCCAACAGATGCTGCTTCAGGCCTTAGAAGAGCAGACAAAGTTGGTGTTTCTTCTTGTTTTCGTCTCATGTTGTATCTCTGCGGGGCTGAACTTCACTGGGATTTGTTGCCAGCAGTTTAGAGTTTAATATCACAAACATTAAACGGTGATTTATTACATCAAACTACAATTTTTTTGTTTTCTCATTTCCCCTATTTGCATTAACGTTGAGATTTTGACAGATTTTTAAGAACTGTAGTAACTGTGTTAATGTTTATGAAGCATTCACACTGTTGTGATCCATTTTTCTTCCGTACATTTTTCGGCACGATTCTCGTTCCACAGTTTTCAAGCTGTTTCAGCAAATCATAAATCAAAATGTTCAGCTCTTGCAGCACAATCTTGCTCTGACTTTTGGTATTGGAGCATCTTTAGCTTTTTGAGATATTTAGCCTTTTCTACCATTTTTTCCCTCATAGAAAATGAATTTAACTCATTTTACATCCTTCAAATCTTTAGATGTGTTTACAACCTTTTCTTGCTCCTTTCACATTTTGTTCTGCTTCTTTCAGCTTCCTTCTGCAAATTTAAACTTTTTTCAGCTACTTTCAGCTAACTTCAGCTGTTTTGTGCTCCTTTCAGATTCTTTCTGCAAACTAAAACATTTTCATGCTTCTTCTAACTTATTTCTGCTAATTTCAGCATGTTATGCTCCTTTCAGCTTGTTTCTGCAAGTTTCAGCTTTTTCAGCTACTATTTAGCTGTTTTTAATTTGAGCTTTTTCAGCTAATTCCACATTATTTGCACTCATTTCATCTTTTTATGGCCTAGTTCAGCAAAAATGTGCTCTCTCCTCTTCCTTCTGATAATTTAAGCTTATTTCTGCTCTTTTAGCTACTTTACAGCTGTTTTGGACAAACCTACATTTTTCGGATAATTTCCACTTTTTGTGCTCATTTCTGCTTCTTTCAGCAAACATGCTCTTTCTGCTTTCTTCTGCTAATTTAAGCTTGTTCTACCTGTTCAGCTACCTTTTAGCATTTCTTAACTAATTTCTGCCGTTTTCAGATAAATTCAATTTTTGTGGTAATTTCTGCTACTTTCAGCCTAGTTAACTTCTTTATGCTAATTTCAGCTTGTTATGCTCTTTTCAGCTTATTGCTGTTAGTTTTTGTTATTTTAGCTACTATTTAGCTGTTTTATGTTAATTTTAGCTTTTTCAGCTTATTCCACATTTTTTAGCTCATTTCAACTCTTTCTGATTTCTTCTTGTAGTTTCAATTACTGGTAGATAGATAAAAAATTGTATCTTTCTGCCTTTTCAGCTACTTGTTTGTTTTTTGTTTGTTTGTTAATTTCAGCTCTTTTAAGCTAATTTTATCATTTCTGTGCTCATTTCTGTTTATTTAGTCATAATTCAGCAAATATGTTTTTTTTTTTCCTTTCTGCTAATTTAGGCTTGTTCTTCCATTTCAGCTACATTTCAGCTGTTTTTCAACAAGTTCTTCTGCAATAAGCATCCACACTGCATTTTTTCAGGAAATACAACTTCTCTCTTTTTTTGCTTCTATGTGCAGATGGGTTTATTTTTAGTGAAAACAGTTCATTTAGAAAACATCTACTTATGCAGTAGACATGTTGCTCTATCTTTGAAACAAATCGTATCCTTTGTCCCTCTTGAAGCATAAACCAGGTGCAGGAAGTCGTGTTCTGGTGGTGCTCACAGTTACTGGAGCGACAGAGACATCAAGTGGTCATCGGGTGTTACTCTTTCTATAATAATATTCTGTTTGTGCAGACTCCCGGAGAGCCAGCAGAGAATCGGGGGGTTCTTCCTGAGCCAGATGCCCCAGATGAAGCTCATATATGTGGCTTATTGCTCCAATCATCCGTCTGCAGTCAGCGTTCTCACACAACACAAGTACGTCCTGAAAGAAGAGCCTTTTACGTGTATAGAAACGGTAAAACCGGGAGATTGTCGGTCTGCGTGAGTTGTTTGCTTGTGACTGTTTACCACAGCGAGGAGTTGGGAGAGTACATGGAGTCCAAAGGAGCGTCCGGTCGTGGCATCGACACACTGACCACCAGTCTGAGCAGACCCTTCATCAGACTGGAGCGGTACCCAGCGCTGCTGAAAGAACTGGAACGACACATGGACGTAAGCCCGGTTCTGTCGTAGACCTCAGGACGGACGCTACTGAGGAAAACGGTCCTAACGAACCGAACAAAACGCCGAGTTTTCATGTTGAATATTTTCTGTTTTTTAGGAACAACACCCCGACAGATCGGACCTGAACTCTGCCATGACCGCCTTTAAAAGCCTCACAGTAAGACGCACCTTTAGAGTCCACCTGTCCTCGAGCAGTTTTGGTTTCTGAGAGCAGGACCATAAGACTCTGTGTATTAAGTAAAAGTTCAACTGAGACACACTTTTACTAAAAAGTCGAGCTAACAAATAATTGTTTTTAAATGCTAATCTTGTTAAATTCTTGTTAAAGTTCTCCCGTGCACGCTCCCGCGGCTGCCATTTGGCCGCCAATTGATTTTTGGCGCAACACCGGCCCATATTTCCGGGTTCGGCCCAAGTTTCTGGGTTGTCAACAGTGATGCATAATAGATGCGACGTATACGGAAAAGCGACATATTTATGGATTTTTCCACTTTATTAGACATATTTGGACTGATGCGACTTATAGGGAGGTGCGATGTGTACGGCGGAAAATACGGTAATTTATTACGTATTAATTATGATCCTTACGGCACGTTTTTGCCTGTGTGTGTTCAGGCTCAGTGTCTAGAGGTGAGAAAGAAGAAGGACCTGGAGCTGCAGATTTTAACAGAACCCATCAGAAACTGGGAGGGAGACGATATCACAACCCTCGGCCCGGTTCTCCACATGTCCCAAGTCAAGGTCCAAACGCAGAACTGTCAGGTACGACTCGCCCTGCGTGAAATCAGCGAGTGAACCGGATCAACTTTGTTAAGACGATACGAAAGCTGTTTTGTTTTTCAGAAGTCCAACGAGCGCTACCTCCTTCTCTTCCCTCACACGCTGCTCATGATCTCTGCGAGCCTCAGGATGAGCGGCTTCATCTACCAGGTATCCCACTGCACAAATATTCACAGAGAGCCACGTGCAGTTCAAGAAATTAATGATTTTAAGCTTCCAAGCTTGACAACAACTGTTCATTTACGTCCGTAGGGGAGGATGCCATTATCGGGAATGCTCATCTCCAGAATTGAGGATAGCGAAAATTCGAGGAACGCTTTTGAAATATCTGGTTAGAAACGTACAAATATTGAATAAATGAAACAAATACCAGCTTTAAGGTTCATGATTGATCATTCAGTGTGGTAGAAAGAAACATACTCCTGACTGTAGAAGAAATGCTAACATACTTTTGACAAAAGTTGATTATGTGTTTTCATTCAGGTGGCCAGTGTGAGCGGATCCAGGTCGCCTGTAGCAGTCAGCAAGACCTGCAAGACTGGCTGGATCTTCTCACCAAACACACACACACCACCCCTCCTCAACTGTACAAGCCTCAGAACGCCTGCCACACAGTAAGTCTCTGTTTTAAAGCACAGACGGGGCTCGCTTCGGTTCTACTCGTGTCTACACGGACCAGTAGGGTTTCTATACAACTCGTGTTCAGGATAAGTACATGCCAGCCAAAGATTGGAGTTTTGTATTGGCTCGGATGTTTAAAGATCGGCCCCAGCCGTAGGAAAAAGTACATCGCTCTAGTTTTCAGAGCTGCATATTCATCTGTTGGCTCAATGGTTTCCATCGTAATGAGAGCTCCCCTGCAAGGCTTTTGAATTTACAGAAACTAAGGTTTGAGACGCCTGCGACGAGTCTCAAACCTTATAACTTTTGAGTCAAACTTGTTGGGATCACGAGTCTCAGCAATGAAAATGTATCGAGGCAACTCAAAGACTTCCCTCACAAACGCGAAAAATAAGCAACGCTCCGACTTCCATGTTAGTTTGTGGCTGCATTTCGGTATAAGAAAGGTTCGTATCAATAATCAGTTTGCCAAGTCAAAATCCAAGATGGCCACCAACATGTAATCCATGTAACCCGACCTCCCTGATATTTGAGGAAACAATGCTTTTTGTATTTTTATATTGCTTAAAAGTATAGTTTCCTCAAATGATTGGAATGGACAACGATTCATCTATGGTGGTCGAGGCCACCATTGCCCCCCCCCCCCCCCACCCCCTGCTCATCTATTAAACTTGTGGTGGATAAAATGGTCCCTTTGCTCACCAGGATCTCTGGTGAGCGCCGCCTCTGCTCTACAGTGTAACTCCTACAACTTGGAATATCTTGCACCAAAAACATTTAGGTTTACTTTATTCCCTGTTCCATTGTGCGGTCTCGATACGACTCTTGGCGCTCTAAATCGACCCGACTCAGTTCTGAGCAGTCTCTGTAGTTTTCCATCTAACTTGGAGCCGCTTGTATCTGGGCAGGTTGCCTGGAACTTACCACTGACAAGTAAAATAAGTGAAATAAGGTCACAAAACGCTCACCGTCCTCCATCATGGTTTCCAAAAATTGCCTGAGTCGAGGCCACCTTCCTTCGCCGGTCGGAGCCGTAACGCCGCTCTCTGTCCCGTTCATGTGCTGCAGTCTGCTGACGTCAATTCAGCTCATCTCGCTTTGAACCTCAGCAGTGTCGGTCTTAAGAACCGAGCTGGATGCTGGTGGGACCACACAATGGAAAGGCTCTGGGTCGACCGAGTCGAACCCGTGATAAAAGGCCATCAGTGAGTTGATCTCCAATGTGCCTCACTGCTCTCTCCTCTGCCTTTGCTCTCAGCTGCCGTCTGAGTCCGTCACTCCCTGCAGACGCTCGGAGTCTCGTGTGGAGACCAGGGGAAACTCATACCACACTCTGCCTCATCTGCCCTCGTGTCCCACTGGACCCAGCAGCCACCCAATCTGGGGACCCCTGGAGCCACCAAACACTCCCAAACCCTGGAGCCTGAGCTGCCTTCGCCCTGCACCTCCCCTCCGACCGTCGGCTGCTCTGTGCTTCAAGGAGGTGCTGAACAAATATCGTAAAGAATATTCAAAACTATTAATAATCTAATATTTAATGTGTCTAGGTAGGTAGCAAACATGTATACGCGTCATATTTCTAACTTTGTGGCTTTTTTTTTAGGATATGAGTAAGAGTCCTAAGAACGTGAAGAAGCTACTTCCTAAGAGGAAACCAGAGAGGAAACCTTCAGAGGAAGATTTCACCACCAGAAAGAGTAAAAAAAACAACAAACAAACAGTTCTTTAACCTCTGGAAGGACTTATGGGAAAAAAATTAGCCTTGCATTTATTGTTGATCATATAAAAACATTATGGTGTAGTCCATAAATACAACATTTTCTTATAAAGCCTAAAAATCCTTCAAAATTGTCTTTATTTTGTCAGAATTACTTCTAAAGATTCTTAACTTCAGAGTAACGTTACTGCCCCCTAGTGTTCCCGAGGGGAAAAAATGGACCATAGGGAAATCCCATTATAAATGCATTATCTGATCTCATAAAAACAATGCATTCCTTTTTAATTTTTACATAAACTCGGGCTGTGATGCTTTGCTTTTTACGTTTGAGAGCCTCTGAAGATTTAGTGACGGACTTCGCCTCACCCCGGCAGAGGTTCGTCTTTCCCAGCTGGACGTTGTTGTCGAGTTCTTCCTCTCATCTAGTCTAAAAACATTGTTTTGGTTTGTACGTAAAGAGCAAAAACACACCTGCATGTTGCTCAAGTAAACATGTAGTACATAAAAGCAGCTCCACATGCATGCAGGCTGCAATTAATTTAATTTAAAGCGTTCAGCAGAGGCTTGGCTGAACTTGTAGCTATAATAAACCAGTTCCATGTTGCCATTTGTTTGTTAATAGAATGATATAGACGACAAATAATTAGAGAAATTAAAATGCAACCCGTGTTCTGACTATAGTTGCACCAGGCTTTACGTTTGCAGAAAGCCATTCATTTTAGCTACTAGAAGAAATGTAGCTGCTTGTTCTCTGGTCAGTTCAAACCCAGTTCTCTTTCCTCGTCCACCAGGCACAGCGGCTCTGGAGGAGGACGCTCAGATACTGAAAGTGATCGAGGCCTACTGTACAAGCGCCAGGACTCGGCAGACTCTCAACTCGAGTGAGTTAGCTCCGTTGCTTCGCCGCGTTCACATCTAAACATCATCGGCACGTTGCCGTGTCTTAATCGGGGTTCGTTTGAAGCTTTCTTCACTAACAATGTTTTTCTCTTTTCTCTCTTTTTATGTCTGTTCATCTTCTGTCTTTGTTTGGTTGTGCCCCTCATCCTCTCATTCTTTCTAACTGGTGTCTCCTCCTGTAATTGTTTTTATATTTCTCACTATTTATCCTTCACAAACTTGTATTTTCCTTTTATTTGCTCCTTGCATCGCTCCTTTACGTTGTGGTTCATCTGGTTTGTCCAACACCCCTTCCCTCGATCCAACATGGCTTTGGTTTGTCCCCTCATCCTCCCCAACACTTATGGTTATTTTATACATTTTAAGCTTGGCAAGGAACTGACCTCATGCACAACCACGTGCTCGCTGAAAACAGCCTGGCTGTGGCTGGGTTTCCATGTTCTGACCAATCAGAAGACTCGGATTATGAGAGTATCTGGACCACACAAAGTCACAGGACCGCCTCGTTTTCTTGTAAGACGTGTTGCAAACCACATTACCGACAGATTGAGCATCACTGCCACTGCTTCATGAGTGTGTTTGATGCTTCAACACGTGCTTCACTTCCTTGTTTTCATTCATTCAACCTTTATTTACACAGATAAATCACATTGAGCCTCGAAGACTCATTTACAAGTGAGACCTGTTTAGACAGACAAAAAGTAACGAAAGTGACACGTATAGGATTTGGAGGCAAAAAAATCCTATCAAACTCTCACTCCTTGGTCGAGGAGAGAGCGCCTGAGATTGAAAAAAACACCCTGCACATAGACACATAGTGACGCAGACATTCTGCAGGGGAGGGGAGACGACAAGAGCGGTGAGCGTGTCCAAGGACACTCCAGAGGCACTGTAGGAGTTCTGTTAAGAATGGTGTAATCAACCAATTTCCTCTGGTGAGAAACATAAACACTCTTGAGGGGTGACGAGGTCGACCTAGGACAGCGCCAGAGAGAACCCAAGCGTCCTGAAATGATGATACAATGTTTATTCAGCCGGGTCCCTCTGATAGGTCCGCAGACTTCCTCGGTGGGAGGGGAGAGGAGGGGGCAGAGCATCAAATTTATAGGGCCTCCAGGCGAATTGAGATAAGATGGCCTGTCAAGGCTAGCCGGAGACCCGAATTCAGATAATCAACATTTGTTTTGAGAACAGAGAGAACTTTACTGATTCATGTCTGCCTTGAGTCTTTGCGGGTCCTTACGAATGTTAAACGTCCAAATTAAGTGGAGCTTGGTGAGCAAACCATCACATAAGGCAGGCAGTCTGACCAGGGCCAAATTTGCTGCCGACGACTTCCTTGTTTGTTGATAAACCAGGAACCAGCCGATTCCAAAAAGCAGGAAACCTGTTATCATAAATCCAATCATATATACATCTTCAGCATCCTCGACGGACAGCAGAGATAGACCCATCACCTTCCACTCGCCCCAGGATTCAATGACATATGCAGCTCTGTGCGTGTCATCAGGACAAGTCGGCTCACCTGAAGCTTGTCTTCTCGTCGAGAAAATTTTATCAATTGCGTTGAGAGACCAGCTGACCAGATCCATAGCAAAAATTACGGTTTGGAAGATGTGTAGGCTCTGAAGCAGTTTCAGACAGGACAGAGCAAAAGCAAAGCGGAGGAGGGAGAGGAGAGGGAAAGCGTCCACTCTTGGTAAGAGCAAGTGGTGAATAAGAGGACAGACGGTGTATTCTGGCACCACAGTCAGTAAAATGCACCGTCACACCGTTAAAAAAAAAGCAGCGTTGAGCGTTTGTGATGATTCTTAATGAGCAGAATGTTTCTCGTGCACAGATAAGTACAAAACATAGAAAAGTCTGGTTGTTTTTGTGTCACTAGATGTCTGAGTTGCAGCAGAAACGTGCCCGGCGTGCAGCCAGTGTGGGCGTGCTGATCTGTTGCATCAGAAACAAAATGGAAATCCTGAAAACATACTGTGGCTGTAAAACTGACTTTACCTTCTAAATATTACCATTTATTCTATTTATTCTAGTTTTTATGTTAATGTCAATCTATTTATAGAGCACGTAAAAACAACAAAAGCTGACCAAAGTGCTTTACAACTGAGTCAAATTAAAATGAAAACAATAAGAACAAACTAGAAAATTCCTGGAGAAACTTTGATGGGGACTGCCTATTTATTATAAAAGCATTATTATTAATAAATATCAATTATTATTATTATTATTAATAATCAATGCTAATTATTCATTATTCGTAGTAATAATTATTAATATATTGTTAATGTATCAATGATTATTAAAATATTATTTTTTTATATTAATAATTATTAATAATAAATATATAATTATTAACATTAATAATTTATGTTTATTATTACTAATACTAATTAATAATAATAATAATAATAATAATAATAATAATAATAATAATAATAATAATAATAATA